CCATATTGAGACAGCTCATTGGTTTCCATATTTGGGAACACCACTTAATTGCCTATGACGTAGGATATTCTTTCCTAACAGAGAACAGTTTGCTAGCCTTCCATTCCTTAAGCAAAGATACAACTCTCTGGAGTTTTCTGATAATCACGGCCAATAATGACAAAAAAGAAGTAAAGAAGCTCAAATCTAATGCTTTTCTTACTTCTTTTCCATTTATAACTAAGTAAGGGAAATAAAATTCCACAGAGTAGGGATTTTAAAAGTACTTGGCTCTAAATGTCACTCAAAATTAACATTCCTGATTAACAGCCAGGAAGACAGCTTTATTACTTCTAGTGATGGCAAGATTATTTTTCAGGGGGCCCATCCACTTTCAGAAACTTAGCTCCAGCCTGCCTGTTGAAACACCCACCTGGCTGTCCAGATAAAGTATAAAGAAAGTAAACTGTCAAGTTAGCTCTGTATTTGGCATAACTATCCTATAGAAATGGAACACAATAGGTCTGTCACCATCTTTTCTTGTTTATTCTAGCTATAGAAACACTGCCTAAAATTTCATTAGCTTTTGTGGCACTTGCTAACCAAAACTATAAATGTGATCAATACAAGTTATTTTTTGCTCTACCTATTCAACCTTCCTGAATTTACATACAAGTTGTTTCAATTTTTCAATTTCTGTTTGTGCTTCAGATTATTAAATTTATAAATGTTGTCATCCAGTAATAGCTATGACTTCCTGCTTTAATGTCATCTGAACATTTTATAAGCATGTCTTTAGGTCTTCATCTAAATCTGAAATCCAGTACTAAAAGGTGACAAGTCATTAAAAATTTGTTCTAATTTTCAGTGTCTTTGATTATCCCCTACTAGACAGCCTTAACCGCAATAGGAAAAATGTAATAGGATAATAACTTATTTAAGTCCTAGATCTAAATTATTAAAGAACGTGTTTGGGGTGATTATAAAATAGTTCAGATTCATATCCTCGAGGTACTTAATAATATAATCACTAGGAGAGAACAGTAAACCAATAACAATCTCAAACAAGTGATCCACTACTGATGATTCTTTAAAAGTATGTGGTTCAGATCTACAATTATCCTGAATGATATGGGTGAATCTCAAACATAATACTGGATCAAAGGGGACAGAAACAAAATATATAGTGAAATGATTCAATTTATTAGAAGCTAGTTTGAGGATGGAAAGTGATAGGAAGAGGTCATGAAGAGCTAGAGCTGGTTACACAGGTGTGCTCAATTTGCGCTGTACATTTATGAATGGTGTACTTTTCTGATACAAATTATATTTCCATAAAGAGATTTTTAAAAAGACATATCACTGAGCATTCCAAAAATAGATTGGACAAGCTCTGAAACCTGAGTTTTACCATTCGGGTTAACAAGTACTGGTGGGTGCTAATGATGAACTGAAGCTTCTTGGAGGATGAGCAAAACAAAGCAAACAGTCTCATATAAGCAGCTTAGTTCTGATTTACTCCTAATTCAAAAATAAAATCTCATAGGGGAAAGTGATAGGAAACACTGGAAGCCTTTTCTAACACAAAATACTTTAGGTTATTTAAACAAGAAATTTTTTTAATCTAATAATTTTAAAACTAGTTATAAATGAGTAATTACTGTATAAAATTTTAGCAAAATCAAGTATCTAGTAGAAGACATGCCATAAACTTACTTAGACATTAACTTTAATAAACCCTTGTGTACTATTTTATTTATTTCTCTTAAAATACTGGTGCTATCATAAGGAAGGATAAGTTGACTCAAGGGGATGGTGCAACTAGCAACTATAACTCTTATTTGTTAACTACATTTATGCATTTTCTTCATTAAGGCAGAAATACTGCAAGTTGTTTAGCAATTTGGTTAAATCCTTACAAGCTACCTGATTTCCTTATTTAATCTACCTAAGCTAAAGTTTCTTCCCTCTAATACTCTACCTTACTGACCTGATATTTACAAGAGAGTAAAACTGTTTGCTGTAAATTCTTACTGTGAGCCTTTGCAGACAAAGGACTCACAGTGAGAGTCTGTTCCCTAGTGATCATCAAGTTTCAAAACTAATTCTATTGATTTAACAAAGCAATGCAATATTTAAATTTGGAAAGCTGTTCTTTAAAGCAGAAAAGTAGAAAATCAAAATTTAAAGCTACTATAAGGAAATACTAATAGGCTATGATATCACTAAAAATTAATTTCTTCATGGTAAGAAAAGCCCCAGGAAGCTACTTTATTCACGTTAATAACCAGTTCACACAAACATTTGGACTTCCTAAGAAAGGCCTGAATTATTTCTGAGATATCAGTATTTATTATCCTTCTACGTATTTATTATCCTTCTACGTATTTAGTGATGGTTTCAGCTGAATGATTCTCTGAGGACTCTGCAAATGACATAGGGGAGCCAGAAAACAATGATGGCACCTACAGGAAAAGGGATAGGAAAGAGAATATCTAAATATAGGCAGAAGCAGACTGATTGGTGAAAAGCTTCTCAACTTGGTAATTTTAATTTAAATAGAGAAGAAAACAGGGGGGCCACAAGAGAACTCGAAGTCAATGTGAGGAAGATGTATTAGTTACTTATATTTTGATGAAAGGATACTCTGAAAAGAATCCTAGAAAAAGACTCGTTTTTCAAGTAAGGCAAAACCAGGGATCTTCAGATTTCTAGGGCAGGCTTAATTAAAACTGGCACAGGGCTTAAAAGCTGCCCATACTGAAAATTATTTTCAAAATTTAATAAATAAGAGCCTTAAATAGGCAAATTTATATCTCAAAGCAAGCAGATGATGTAAGGTATTCACAATCTCTTAAACTCTTGAATGGTTCTATTTAATAGAATCATCCCACCAAAATAATTATTTGCCAAATTAGTTGTAAAATTTTTTAAAATTCCAAATTCATAATAGTCAAACATGAACAGGACAATTTGGTGAGATCTAACACAAATGAGGTGAGGAGAAGTTATATATAATATTTTTTTAAAGCTTAACACACACAAATCTTCAACCCCTGTCTGCAATGAAAAAGAATAGTCCCACAATACTTTTTAGCTAATTAAAAAGTCTAGATATCTGCCAAGTGAAGTTATAGATGTGTTGGAACTAATAAAGCTAGCCACTACTACTCTTCTCAACTGAAAATTTGATAAGCTAGTTAAAAAGTTAAAAGGAAGTCATTAGTCAGTTTCTACCAGGTCTGGCTTATAGTCTCAGTACCAATAGGCCAATTTACAAGTGAAGAATGGCTGATCTAGAATATGAATTCTGATTATATTTTGGCTTTAACAGACTATAGACAAGTATTTGTTAACTTCTTTGGCTCTGGACAACAGGCTCCAAGGAGAAAAGAATGTATTTTCAACCCATGAGGAACTATAGGTACAGCAACTTGCCTCATTTCTGATACCATAAATGTTTCTGGTATCTTAAAAAGAAAGAAGGAGCATTTAGCTGTAAAAACAAATGAGGAACAAGCAGTTTCTATGGTTGTTTTATAATCAAACAAAAGAAATCTTTTAGTATTAAATCCAAATTATAAAAAAATAAAGCTCAAACCTTTCTACACTGGATTTGATAAAAATAGATACCTTTCATATTAATGTCATGGTAGCTCACAAAAGTTAGGTATTTGAAATAAATTATCACATATCTGAAAACTATTCTTACATTTCTATATAGAGTGCTATTTTTCCTTTTTCTAAGGGAAAAGTATAAAATATACCCCAAAGTACTCACCCTGGCTACATCTGGTGAGCCATTTGAATGATTAAATCTTCATGCTTATTTCATGCCACAATTTACATTTATTTTATTGCTACAGCGGAACAAATTTATTTATTTATTATTTATTTATTTATTTTACCCAAACAATTTAAAAGATGAATTTATAAACATGGCACTATAAATTTTAAAACTTCTTGTTCTACAAGTAACTATTTAAAAACATTTTTAGTAAGGAACACATGACAAAAAAGATAGTTTGTTAGAAAATTTCTTTAGAGTGACACACAAAGCAAATCAAGCCAAAGAATTAAGACTGTTACCATTTCTAGGCAACATAGACCACATCTTAACATGACATGTTAAGCATGACATGCACTTAGCAATACTCGTTTTAAATGAAAGAGATGTTGTTGAGTCCATGAGTGTTATCCAAACTATGCCAGAGGACACAAATGTGTTGCCAGGCAGAGTTAAAAGAACTTTACAAAGCTTTGTGAGAATTTTAAAAACATTGTTTGTGCACAGCTTCTAGTAATTAGACACAGAATGATGGAGTGCTAATAAATATTCAGCAAAATAACTCAACAGAGCATATACTACTTAAAATGTGTATTAAGCAGAAAGATAAACCAAAGTATCTTTTACCATAAATGAACTCAAGACTTCATTCAATATTTTTAAGTTAAAAATAAAATTTACACATTTCTGTGTGAAAACATTTTAGGGGTTTACAAAAACAGTAATGCAGATCTAGTGAATTCTAGCAAACAAGCTGGATGGTAAAGTTTTTCACTAAGAGTTAAACAATGACTACTACTTTGATTCCTTGGTCTTGTCCCTCCTCCAATGTCTTAATATAAAATAATATTTTGTTTTGAGTCACTAAGGCTTTTGCAGAGAAATAAAAATAGCACAAATTAAATAACTGTAGGTAGTTTATTTTATAGAATATATTTTTACACTAAAATACACAAGGGTAAGTAAATATTTCATATAATAAAATCCAAAAGAATATGTAAATCCTTCCAAAAATTAAATATAATTTAAAAGTTCAGTAAGAAGAAATGTTCTTATTCTATTTAAAATATAGACTGTCCTTTTGGTTTATTTTGCTGCTTTGTCCCATGCTAGATACGTGATTTCCCCCCCTAAAATAACAAAGATCAGTTTTAGTGATGAGAAACCAGTACAGTGCAAAGCAATTCATGCATACACCTTTGCATGTATGCATTCCATATGTAAGTATTCATACCTATCCCAGAGGTTCTTTGATTCCTGAAACGTGTTCAAATGGAACGCTTGGTAGAAAGCAGTTGAAGGATTCCTGTGAGATCCAAGAATCAAATGGAAACGAGGTTGAGAAAATACAGTAAAATCACTACTTTTCAAAAAAAAGATGGAAGATTTTAGATTTTTAATACAGTGTAACAGCTAGGAGAGAGGAGAGGGGAGAGAGAGAGAGACAATAAGACTGCTTAAAAGCATTCTGAAAGAAATTAAAACTGGACAAAAATCCAGCAGACTATGACAATTCAGGATCACAGTTCTAATAGAAAGAGGTAATAGAAATAAAATCAAATATTAACTAGTTCAATTGTGTTTGTGGATACACGTTTATTTACACATGAATGTGACCAGCTAATTGCCTAATGAACACTACTCTTTATTAGATACCCTCATAAATCCCTATATGTTTAGCAGTTTAATAAAGCTGTTCTGAGGTACATGTAAAATAATTTAAACTGTACCTTCATAATGCAAAAATCCTTCATAGGATCTATTTGATAGGGTTTAATGATGAACAATGAGTCCTTTTCTAGGTTCAGAGTCCATTTATTTATGTGTGGTTTCTCTGAATTAGGGCAAAAAATGGTGCTGTAATTGTATGGCAGCTTTCTAATTTCTAGCATTAGTAGTGTGCCCCTTTAAGAGCTAATAGCTTATGCACCTTAATTACCTTCCATTTCTACTATTCCCTGGGGACACTTTCCCTAGGGCTATAACCATAGAATCTTCACTGATGGGCTCATCTGGGCAAGCTCCCAGCAAGCATGATTCACCTCACATCTCAGGAGTGGCTTCTCAGAGGACAAAACTTTTGACAAACCTGCTCTCTAACAGTTCCCCCTCCAGCTCAGCATATTTCTAAATTCTCTCTCACCCCCAACCTACACATTAGGGAATAACAAAAACTTGAAACATCACTTCTAAAATTCTTGATCCATGCTGAAGCAGAATAACAGCAGCAAGCTAAGAATATGAGTTATTATATACTCGACACTACTCCAACTGTTTTAATTTATTAATTCAATTCTACAACAGCCCTAAGAGTAGGTGCTATTACTATTCCCACATCAAAGATAAGAAAACTGGGTCAGACAGAAGTAACTTGCCTTATGTCACAGAGTTAGTAGGTGGCAATCTGGTCCCAGAGTTCATGCTCTTAAATCACTACGCTAAACATATAGCAGAGTTAAATTTTAACCTCTCTAGGTCTGTCACTTATCAGTTAAATAATGCAGGGTGGTTCAAGAACTGAGACTGCTATTATTTTATCATCAAAATAAGGTTCAGACACAATATGACAACTCTAAGACCCTAACAGGTACCTTAAGAGGGTCTCTGCAGTATTATTAGTACAATAAGAAAACTGTTTCCAAGTTCTACTAGAATACCAATCAAATATCAATGATCATCAAACAAAACAAATAATAGAATTCCATGACTTCAAAAATCAGATTAAGACTCACTGTGTTATATATTGAACTTTAAGAAGCATTTTTAAAAGACAATTTTTAACTTTAACCAGTAGGGTGCCTCATAGATGATCCAAAACGAGGAAAGGTAGACAGACACTAGATGCCAGAGTGTCACCAGAGCAACTATTTGATTAATTAGGAGTCTTCTGTATGTGTGCTTCTCTTCGCTTGTCCTACTTCAACTCCTTTCTACTTTTTAAAAACTCTTTATTTTTCTCTTGACTAGTCTAAGGCAATCAAAGGCACTGATTAGACCTACAATATCAAGAAAGGATTAAGAGGCTGCTAACTACTGTTTATTTAACAGCTTGTATCCTCTCAAGATGTATTTGTCAGGCCTCTTTTTTTCACTGTACTTAAAATTGGTCTACCAAATTAAATGAAAGCCAACTGAACCAATTGAAAACTCAATTTGGCTTTTTTACAAGGCTTACCCAGGACCATATGGGAACAAGTACACTATTCACACAGGTCTGTTTGGAGATCTTTGGTTTAAAATAAACAGAATGACTTAAAAAGAAATGTAGTAAATATAAGAGAGTAACAAAGAGTAAACCTGGAAGTTATTCTTCAAGTCTGAAATTTAAAAGTTATTAAAGAGTATTTACAATATGTGTATAAGGATGGCATTCTTTAAAAGAACTTCAGATCCTGACTTTGGAAAAACATATACATATATTTAATTTAAATCAAATTCATATGCCAAATAAATTGGTCTTAAATAAAGTCATATGATTTAAGTTGTGAAATTCCAGTATTTTTACAGCATAAACTAATAATGAAATGTTCTCATAAGTCAAATGTAGAAGTGAAAAAAGAACTTATCTGCCGTTAGTCATATATCTTGGGGTGAGAAAAGAACCTGTGAAATAAAATACTATAAATGAACCTAAATGTCAGAACAAATACACTCAGGTTGCTAAAGTTTGCAGTTAACAATCACTTTCTACATATATTCAAAATGAAGAAACCATATGATGTTATACAATCTATGTACTACAGAAAAATTTAAATAGTGTATATTGCAAGGATAAAGACAGTAGTATAAAATATGAAATTTTTGATTCCTGGAATACTTCAGCTGGGATGTTATCCATTAACTGAGGGATTTTTTAGCAAATTGTAACAAGAATTAGTCTCAAAGCATTGATTAACAGGCATAGATTAAAGGAGTTGAGTCTGTAAAATCTAGCTGATCAAGAACTTAAAAAATATCCATTTGTAAATACTGACGGGCCTGATCATTTTTCAAAACCAATGAGCAAAGTATATTCTTTTCTCCCTGACTATATACTAAATAGTCTGTCATATTAATTTCCAAGTACACAAAAGCAATACATCAGAAAGTTGACTCAAACGTGACATTTGTCTACTTGCTTTACTAAGCTACTATCTTTGTCAGGTAACTAACTAAAACAGAGAGAGAAAAAAACCATACATATATACTATACCTCAAAACTAAGCTACAAAAACTATTGAAGTTTAAAGGATGAGGTACATACATCAGACCAGAACTCAGCAAATTTCTTCTTCTCTTATGTCAAAACTCAACTTTAGAGATCTCTAAATGGAAATCAGGGAAATACAATAAGCAGAGGAACAACAAGGCTATCTCCAACATTAGTATTTAGGGGTTTAAAAAGATTAAACATATCCTTTAGGTAAAGATTAAACATATCCTTTACAACAGATCAGTGGCTACAGTAGGTTTTTCCTTCCTCCTATCTTACAGTCAGCAAAGTAATAAAACAAATCTAACTCTGGGAATATCCAAGAGCACTGGCTTTGGAGTCAGAAGGCCTGAGTTTGAATCTATGCTTTGTCACTTAATAGCTATGTGACTCAAATTCTGAGTCTCAGTTTCTTTAATTCATAAAAAGGGGACAGAAACACTTCCTTAGAGTTGCTTAAAAGATCAAATCAGATTATGTATACATAGGGCCTAAAACAAGCTTGGTTTGTGTTTAATATTCTAAGGTTACAGTTTCCAAGTCATGCTGTATTAAAAATCAATTTTTGTAGGCTAACTTTACATATACCAAAATATTTCATCAAAATTAAAGTAATATTGAGGCAAACAAACAACCTAAGGCAAACAGAACACTTAAGTTAGAGCTAGGTATACTAAGCTATTCAGTACTTTCCACTGGAAGAGAATCCTGACTTTTGGAACTCCAAGCTCCCGAAGGATTTTCTTATACACAATTTTATCACAGGATTTTAATTAAAAATAGAATTTTCACTGAAAAGTATACTGTAACGGTTTCAAGATACATTACTCTAATAATAAAAGCTTCAAGAAACACCTTTAACAGCAAGCATACACTTATGATAAAAATCTCAATTTCTTACCATGACATTTTAGCCCATCACTCTGGTTCCTGTCAAATTAATCACATCATTTCCCAAATCTGACACAGTCTCACTCTTTCACACTGTTATACAAACTGCCTTTTCCCTCTATCTGGAAAAATCATCCCCTTATTTTATTAGTAGCCTAATATAAATGACCCTTTTAAGATCCAGTTCAAGAGTTAGCTTCTGAGGACAGAAACTGGGTGGCTGGAGGAAAGAGATGTCAGAGAGGCTTTCAATTTACATACTCTTGTACATTTTGAATTTTAAACTGTATAAATATATTACCTATGCAGAAAGTAAATTAAACTGTAAGTCAGTCTAACTACTTCCTCCTCACACCAATTTAACATATGGATATCCTAAATTGTTTCCATTAGCACCTTATATTTACTAATTATTTTCATACAGCCTGAGATGTTTAAGGGCAGAATAGTCCTATTTCTATATGCCAGTACTTACTACCCAGAGAGCACTAAGATAGTTGAATGACTGACATATTGCTTTAAATGTTTTCTTGGGCATTCAACCTTACTTCTTTTCTTAATCCTCACCTGAGGATATGTCTTCATTGATTTTTAGAGACAGAGAGAAAAACACTGATATGAGAAACATCAATTGGCTGTCTCCCCTATGCACTCCGACCAGGGAACAACCCACTCCGAGGTATGTGCTCTGACTGGGAATCAAACCTAAGACCCTTCAGTATACAGGACAATGCTCCAACCAACTGAGCTACACCAGCCAGGGCTGTAAACTTCATTTTTTGGTCACACAGTAGTCTGGTGGTAGGAAAAGAGTTTGACAAGGGGAAGGCTTAAGTAAGCAGCTCTACTATGAAACGTCTAAATGTATGAACTCACACATAGGGAACTTCAAAAACTGGACCAAGTCTCAAATTCTAATTTTACCAATGAGTAAAACTGAGAGACGTCAAATTACTTGACCAAAGAAACCAGCTAAGTGGTAGAAGAGCCAGGATTAAAACAATTTGCTGTACTTCTGGCCTAAAACAATGTCTCCTCTTCTGATTACATCTATACCATGCAATTACACTTTCAGATCAAACTGACGACTCTTGGTATGATCTGTATAATGTCAAGCAGTGATCTAGGAAGGCAATTAGGACACTGAAATATTGATGTTTCTATGATGTATGCTTGCCATACAAAGTGCCTTATGTTATGTATGGATTGTTCACAAATTACTT